ATATATACATTTATATGCTTTTAGATCAAGAATATAACGCTTACGAACTTATTCAAATTCTTAATAATGTTAAGCTGATAATTAAAAATGAACCATTGTTACTTGAAGTATCATTGCCATGCGTTATCATTAATGGCACATATGGCTGGGTTATATATTCCATATCAGTTAAGTCTGCAAACAAATTAATTAACTTTATTAATGAATAACCAGTTAAAGTTATGATTGATTAGCATGTTCCAACAATTGATATCTGATATCTCTTGATAACTACCACTGTTTTACTTCTATTCATAAATAAATTCATTTATACATTTTTCACTATGAAATGCTTCATATTACAATTAGATAAAGGAACGAGGTGAAATCCTCGTTACTGTATTATTTTTGGTTTTTAGAGAAATTATATAAAAATAGCAATTAGTTAAGACTAAAATATTCTTAATAACTGCAGTGTGATAATTTACAATGGATATTTATGATAATCGATGGTGGTAAGGATCGTAGTGTTATCATAATATATCATTATGTATTCATTCCCTGGTGATTATGTCGATGCGATACTAATTCATTGGAATTTATTTGTTTGTTTATTTGTGTGCAACTGATTTAACCAAAAACGGTTCTACCATATTAACTTATTTATAATGTATTTGCCAATTTCACTTTGAATTTAATCCTTCCATTATTTTTGCTTAAAGTTAAAAGATTGAATTATTAATTTTTCTTTTTGTTTTCATTGTAATTACTTTCAATATCTTTTGAGATTACAATAAAAATTCATATTATACAAAAAGATATTATCATAATTTTACATATATTTGTTTGTAAATTGAAATTGAAATTTTCATATGTTTATCTTTTCTAAGCATTGCTAGCTGTTAGATGAACTTTTTTTTCAAAATAATTTCCAATTAAAATTTCGGCTTAATTTGCTGCATATCAATCACAAATGAGGATTTATTAATTCGCATTATGGCTTCTATGATGAATTACTTGATCGTTATAAGGAAAAAATAAATAATGAACTGTGGACAATGTTGAATGATATTCTCGATTTGTTGCCAGTTGCTGCATTTATTCATGAACCCATTTTCTGCATGCTGATTTTATCAATTTTTCGGTCTTTATCATGCGATAATTTTTTATCATTTCGGTCAAATTAAGTTAGTATTAATTATAAAGATTAAGGTAAACACTGGTTGAATATAAGCATCATAAATGATATGCAACATGCTAGCGACAAGTGAAGTGAGGTCATGATCCGAAAAACCCTTTCACATGATTGATATGGCATTCATCGTATAATATGGCTATTGCTGCTAATATACCAAATAAATAATAATAATTAATAACATTAAGAACATCAATAACATTCTATTGTAAATGACTTACTAAAATGGATATGGACTTGACTGACCTTTCCCTTTTAAACAATAGTGACAGTCGGCAAAAGCATACTCTAAACGTTTTAAAGTCAATTTAGAATTTCACTTTTGCATCAGTAGCATTGAACACTTTTAAGTACAACTGAGAAAAGACAGAAATAACTAAAACTTTTGAATGGGAACTTAAAGGGAAAAAAAATTTCAATCTATCATAAGTTTTAACTTGATTTTAAATATTTAAAAAGCAATAATATGTTAAAATTCCCATCAAACTGTCATAATATTAAAAGGGACGCAGTTAACATATTTCTAACAGCATTCATTTATTGGGTTCTCTGTCAACACTTCAAGATAATCGGAATTACTGGGAAATCGTAAGTATCGGAGAAAAGAATATGTGTAAATTAAAAAAATATCGATTTGTGGGAACGACATTACACTGGGAAATATAGAAGCAGAAGACAAATGACAAATTTATTTTATTTTCTTGTTACGAAATAACAATTTTTTATAAGATTTAACTTCAATACACATAATTTATTGACACAGTTTTCGATTATCTACACGCGCCTACGTGGTTCAACGAAAAAAACAAAAGGAATCGAAAATATGATGCTGAATTAGGAATTTACAAAAAAATTTCGAAGAAACAATAAGGAATAGAGAGCAAAGAGAGTTCAAAAAATTTTCTGCTTTCAAATGAATCTTTGACAAGTAGACATCGCATGAAAATGTGAGGCAAAACAAGAATTCCAAAAAATAAAAAAGTTCAAGTAACAAAGCAAAACGAAAGTTCCCAGAATATAATTCGGTATTATAAATTAGTTTCACCATCACTTTTCCGAATTTTAGCCGGTGAACACTCATCATCAGTTGCTTCCGATAATGGCCGCTTTATTCTATTCCCTTGCTCCCCATCTTCTTGTCCTGTAAAAAAATCATTTAAAACTGAAAAAAGGTCTGACACATAACTTTAGCTTCTTTTTTAGATTAAAAGTGCTTTTCCGTACTATGACAAACATCTTAGAGCCAAATTAAATGTAAGTTCATTAAAAAAAAAAAACTTGCGCATGTTTCAACAACATTTACAGGGACCTCCTGAAGGTTAAGAAGCTCATCAAATTCCATTCTGATTCAAACAAAATATAAATCAAGCTAACCATTTGTTGCAGTAGCATCAGTATCCATTGCTATTACAAACTCATCAACCCTCAGCTCATTAGTGTGCTCGATACGAATCCGAAGTTCCAGTCTTTGCAAGAAATCATCGCATTCCAGGATGCAACCATGAACGACTCCGACTTTTTCCAGAATTCGTTCACTAATAGCTAAAAGAAATTGCAATCTGTAATTAAAAATCATTTAGAACAGTTCTTCTATCTGCAAAAGCACTATTACCACAATTCTAGAAAACTGCAAAAATTGTTTACTTGTATGTGAAGCTTAACATTTTGCTACAACGTGCTGAAGTTTCGAGGAAGTATCATTTATTCCGTAGTTTTTTTAGAACAACATTAATGTTGGTGTTGCTGATAGAAGAACCAGATGATTTTTGACTGTTGATTAGAATGAAGAAAAAAATTGTTACTCATAAAATATCAAAATGAATGCTTACCTTTGGTTTCACCCTCTTCACTCGAAATGACGATATTGCCAGTTAGATAAATCATGACGTCAGGTGCTACCATATGTAAAATTCCCTTTAAAAATTTGTTTTCCAAAGATTGAACAGTAGTCAACTTGACATTTAATTTCAGAGTTATTTCTCGTCGTTCCGAACAGACGTAACAATGCTGATTAGGTTTGCAAGGCACTTCCTCAATTAAAATTTTGCCACGTGGATTTGGCTTCGGTTTTATGAAAATCTGAAAAAACTTCGTTCCAGTTAAGCCTGAGCAAAAAAAAATCCCTAGTTCCAGATATACAAGAGTTCTGATAGTAGTATTTTACTTGTATAACTTGCAGCAGAGAGCAAAACACTAGACGACCCTAGCAATGCATAAATTTAGAAATGGATGAATCAATTAACACAACACTGCTAAAACATAAATCAAAGGTGTTTTAGCAGTGTTGTGTTAATACTATACTTTCGTAATGAATAAAAACTAGCATTTCGCAATCTGTCTTTTGCACCGAAAACAACTTTTAGTGCTTCAGTAACAATCATTCCCGCTACTATAGCATTTGTAGTAGCAATTGCTGGTATTATATTGCCCGCCATCGCTGAAAAATAATACATGACTTGATTTCGTGAATTTCAAAGAGTGCCATGAACATCATTTCTCTTTCTTCTCACTCAATTAGTTCAAAGAATCATCAAATTCTCGTCATCATCTCAAAAAAGACAAATGTTGTTCAATTTTGAAGTTTTTTTTTGGGATTAAACACAGAAGCACGCGATGTTTGTCAACCTGCCTTATTAATATGCTGTTAGCAACTAAATTATGAAATATTCTATTGAAATTAAAAATCAAAATACTGCTCAACATCTTTTCATAAACCTACATTTTATGTCGAAAAGAGTTCTGAGAGGAATGCTAAAGATATGAGCACGAAGATTGGCACATGCTGCTACGAAACGCATTGCTGGTTCATCATCCTGAAAGGAAGTTTTTTACTCAAAATTCGACTTTGATCTTTCACTTTTTAAATATACTAAGTAATATGGAACAGATATTTGACAAATAACAAAACGAGACTGACTTATTAATGTAAAAAGCTTGTATATTCTAATGAAAGAAAAGTTGAAGAAAACCTTATCCCATGATAACACTGATCCATCTTTAATGCGTTTACTCAATATGGCCACAGCCTTTTCAAATTCATCCTTACACTGCAGAACTGTCCACAGTTCCGCATTTGGCTCATTGCTACTTGAACTTGCAACTAAACACTTGCAACATGAAGTTTATAAACCTTTAATAATAGCCGGCAATAATTCTTGAAAGTAGCATGCTGCTCAGTAAGCCCTCCTCGACTTTTTTTAAATTATACCCAAATTCTTGAACTTTTCTCTTTTGAAATTCGTTCCAGAATTATGAAATCCACACAACTCATTGAATTTATAACTCATCCTAAGGAATTGAGAGGTAAATCATATTGAAATCGATGTTTATGCCAGTATCGAAGCTTACTTTCATTTGGAAGATTATCCCAATCCAATGGAAATGGCTTTCTTCTTTGCTTCCATAAATTCGTCATACTCAAAAGGTAATTGATATCATTGTGAAAGAACTGAAATATCGCCGGTAAAAGCATGTAAATATAGAAAATGATAACCTTCTCAATTTAAGAAGTTTAGCAGTTGTCGTAATCGAAATATGGAAACAAAGCTTCGATATTTCTTTTAGGTTAGCAAAAATTCTACTTCATAAAAAATTTGTCGCATTGACAAGAGCATAGGCTCCTAAAAAAAATTTATTGAAAACAAACTTTTCTAAAAAGAATTTTTGGATCGTAACCGTTTTCGACGGCCAATTTCCGTGTACTGATTCTATTTCCACTACTGTCGCCATGCAGAAATGAATCATCAGCATCGTTCTGTTCTGTATTAAAAGCTACATTTCCATTTTTTCCATCATTATTTACACTAGGACCTTCCAGATTTTCTTCATCTGTTAAATCCGGAGACACTTCATCTTCATCATCCGGTTCACCAAAAAGTTGGCTGAAAACAAAGCTGATGTGCCCATCTTAATTAACGTGCTGTATTATTTTGACTAAAATTTCACTTTTCGCAAGAGTCATTATCGACTGATAATGCATATGTACTAATCCAATATAGAATTAAAAATTACACCATACAACTCCTACATAATTAACATGGGAATTGGTAAAAGATAAGTACGCACTTAAAAAGATGTTTTGCCCAAACAATGCAGTGAATGTGCTCCGATGGCGTATTACGGATCGTACATCCAGGATATGTTTTTTGCACTGTCTTTGGATTACATTCATAACATTCAGTGTAATCACGAATTATTGGACGTACCTAAATTTAAAGATCAATTTTAACCAGATTTCATACTACAACACCTCAGGACAATTAGACATTAATTACGCTAACGAATATATGAAATAAGCATGGTAAACTTGCATGTCCCAAATAACCGGAAGAACCACTTTCAATTAAAGGTACTCGAGCTGCTAAACAAAGTCGATTGATATGATTTCGTGCAGCTAAAACAGGAAAAATTTATCTAAAAATGTAGATAAAAAATTAGGAAGAAAAATTCAATAGCAGGAGAACCGATTGCTTTTTTTTATCATTAATAGGAGCAATTTTGATATTTACCTATGTTATCCAGTGCACTAAGAACCACTGTGAATTTCTGAAAGAAGTCGACACCGTATCCTTCCCTGAAATTATGGAAAAAGTATTATATGGACTTTTAAAATCAAAGTATCGAACAATCCATTAACAATATAAATTTTCTTTACGAGATATTCAGCACTGCCAAATACTGTATGCAGAGATTTTCCAAAAGAGGTCATAATAGCAACCTGGCAAATTATTTCTGTAGCCTATTACGTCAATTACTCAGAGACAATTATATCAGAAAAATACTTATTGTAGACACATACTTTAGCACCGAATCATGGTAACACACAATTTTTACGTTAGGTACAATTGATCGAACTGCTTCTGCAGCAATAACCGCCTTTGGTCTACCAACATGTTCACGACGAAACAAGAACTGTCGATTCAAATTGCTTACATCAATTGTATCTAAGTCAATCTGAAAATGACTGTAACTTATTGAAACATCCAATGTTCAATCCGCAGAGAAAACAAACAATCATTTTCTTATTTCCATATTATTGTTATAGAACTATATCGCGAAATTTACAGAACAATCAAAAAATTTTGCACAATCTACTGTCATAACAGAAATGCAAAGGCCTACAATTTCGATATTGGAAAAGCCAGTTAAGGCTAAATTTTTTAGTAATTCGCAACCAATACCACCAACTCCAACAACCAACACAGGACATCGCAAAACTTCCAAGAACTGCTCGTTTTGCCAAGTCATTTTATTTCTGAATATATTGACATTAACTTTTCCCAAACAAAACTGACATTAATCCGTATATTAGCTGTACCAAATATTCATTAAGCCATCAAACCTAACTTTATTATAGCCATCTTTGATGGGAATATGAGCATAAGGCAAGAAATAAACGAAACGGAATATAACACTTTAAGTCCATTTGCCAATTTTACCATGAGTCTGTGTGGGAGAGTATTCTCATTTTCTTTGCTTTTCCTTAATTCCGTGGTTTTATCTCATATCTATTTAAACTGCAATTATGTTCCCTTGACATCTCACCCCCTCCCCTATAACCATCGCGAAAGCCCCCCCACCTCCCAGCTGCCCACCCATCCCCTCAACCGATCGCCCCGCCACACACAATTGACGACAGTAGCTTGCAATCGTTATGAGATCCAGTGCTAAGTGAAGTAGCGAAAAATTCATTCTTGCGAAGCAAGCAGCATGATTTCGCGGCTACAAATTATTTGTGCACGGTACTTTATATAAGGCGTGTGGACGTGGACTTTCGTATATGACACCCTACGACTCACATTATGGAAGTGATGCTTCAAAAGTTATCGGCGGCGATTTTATTTTTTAAAATGAATTTAATTAAAAGAATTTAATTCAGTTATCGAAACGGTAATATTCAGATGATTCGGTTCCACTTTTGTTGAATAAATTTAAATGGTTCAATTTTACTTTTGTCGATTAAAAACGAACAGTACAGTGCACCATTATTAGTAACCGATTATTGCTGAATGACATATAAACAGAATTTATGGACTTACAACTTGATAGTGAAAAAATGAAACACAGAGCTATCAGAACAGAGGTTGTTTCAAAAAAATTTAGTAAAATAAATTTTTCTTCGAACCATAATGGGGAATATCATTTTTTGTTCTGGATTGAACATACCGAATCAGCGAATATCTGAAGCACTGTGTTGCGACCGAATATCTGAAGTAGCGGGGAATTTCAAAATAATGAAATCAAGATGTCGATCAAAAAAAGTTGATATGAAAGAAGATTCTAAAGAGAAAATAGGGTGAAATTAAATGAGTGAGTTGATTGTCGATAATTGTGGTTGTTACTGACATAAAGTGGTATTTATATTTATAGTATATTTATAGCGGAAAACAATAGTACTGGACGTCTTACCATATTAGGAATAAATTCAATTCGTGTAAGGATAATAGCTTTAAGTCTAGAATCAAAACTTTTGAAAGATACGAACTATTTTTTAATCGTAAACATTAACATGACTGATCATATTTGAAATTCTCTACACTTCATTCACTTTAGCTGGTTCTCGCCTCGTCAAGCTTTGCGAACAATCATCCTCATTAATATCATCAGATGCTTTCCTTAAAAGCATATAATTAATGGATGCAACTCCCGGAGTTCCAATTCCTTACAATAAGAAGTTTGAAATTCTTCGTAGTGATGTAAGTGTTCAAAAATTTATCGAATTAAAAAAAAAGTTTACCTGCCTGCGATGATGTTGTGTAATGAAAGAATAAAAAATCCAATGATATAAACAATCAGGGCAGCACTTAAATAAGGCAAGTATGGGAGAAATGATCCATTGAGCCAACTGAAAGGAAAAAGTTAATAAGAATATAAAATGGGGGAATGCCTATCCGTCTTTATAAATTATTGAAAGCACTGTCGAAATTCCCGGAATCGCTCACTTATATAATGCCAAATATATTTAAATGGAATTCTTTAAAAAGGTTCAGGGTATCCGATCCAAAATCATTTCCTTCCATTCATATATCGAGTAAATTTTGTTATTGTCCAGAACAGATTAACAGTTGTATTTAATAGGTAAAATTAAGCAGAAATAATGGTACCACCTGTCGACTACAAGTTTAATATTAGGCCTCGGCGGCATTTCTTGACGCCGTTTATACCGTTCTTGTTCAGCTTTGTAAAATCTTTCCCAAAACTGGTCATCCCGTTCTTTCTGAGCTTTTTCATATTCTTTCGCACGACGTTGTAATTCTTCAAAAACCTGAAAAAATGAAAAAAAATTATCTCAAAATCCAAAAATTCTTCGTTCTGAGAATAAACAAAGAAAACAAGCAGTCCCCACTTCACAAAAATCTTTTTTTTAACACTTTCAAAAACCTTCAAAATTGCTTATAACTATTTTTCCTTATCCTTTTTAATTGCTTTTCTTTTTTCTCTCTAAATTTCCACAGACACTAATATACTTTTAATATCGTGGTGTCAAAAACCATAGTAATGGTAACTAAATCCAATTTGTCAAACTGTTATGAAATTTCACCTTTCTCAAATGAGCATCATCATATCGCCAACTACCACGATACTTGTTGCTACCAGCATAACGATTACTTCTACCGGTACCATACCCAGTATTTTGTTTATTGTAAGTTTGCCGATCATAGTCATAACTTATCTGTGCTCGATATGTATCATACTCGTTCCGACTATCCACATCTTTTAGCACATCATATGCTTCTTTAATCGCAATAAACCGTTCCGTAAAGATGCTCTTAGAAGCACTCCCAATAACATCCGGATGATACTGAAATTACGGAAAAGAAGTTTTTATGAATATTTTTCTAAAAGAGAATTAATTTAATTTCCAAAATTTATAGCGCTTATCATTAGCATGTAAATAAGATTATCGAATGGCTATAAAGTACAGTAACATGTTAATATTTATAGTTTTGTGGGAAACGATATTGTGTGTATGCCCTGAGAGAAGGGTTGTTTTAATAATTTATGCCGAGTTGTTTTAATAATTAATGCTGATATTTCTTACTAAAATATTTCGGAAATAAAGAATTAATATTTTCATAAACTGATATTGCCATACTACATCTAAATCACCTAATTCGTTGATTCGATTATCACAATAATAATCCTAATTTATTTAAATTTGCTAAATTTCAAGGATTATCATAACAGTCACCCCAATTTACTTAAATTTACCTATTTATTCAAATTATTTATATTTTTTTCTAACTTTCTTGGATAACATATAGAATGCATTCTTGATTTCTTGTTGTGTCGCGTTACGGCTAACTCCCAATATGTCGTAGTAATTCTTCTTATAATCAATTGCTTGTCGTACGAATCGATTAGAAGAATAAAGAATTCGTTTCACAATGATCAATCGATAGCCAGAAAACATTGTAAAAATGATTTGAATCATTCGATTCTTTAACAGTCCATTTCATCAATCCGTCATTCATTATTCCATTTTCCGAATTGCTTGAAAAAAACGCATAAAATTGAAGAAATAATTGGATTCCAAATCAAAACTATTAATTTTACTTATAATGAAAGAAAAAACATAAAACATTAAAATCTCTATGGGATATTTAATTATTCTCAAGCTAAAATAAAAAGAAAAAAGTGTAGAGAGAACATGAGAGTGAATTTTTCGATCATAGTAAAATGAATAATGAAATAACTGTTTCTAAAATTTTTTCATCTTAAATACAAAATATGGCATAATAGAACAAAAACATATGTTTGTTATGATTTTACAAGTATAATTTGAAATTAATCAATGAACAGTGACATAAGATCGGATGTATAGAAGAAATCCCATTAACAAGATAAATTACACGTATTAACCCGACAGGATAAAGTCAATAAAATACCAAATACAATTGAATAAAATAATAGTAAAATGAAATACGTAAAGTGGTACCAATGATAAATATAACAAAATGATGGATTTGTTATAAATATGACAAATATAAACATAATGGATTATTAATTGAGATGAGCAATCTGATTGCTCTACGTTGAATAAGAGCGAAAAAAACTGTTGGAATTTCGTAGTTAGAATAAACTGAAAATTACAATGTGAAGTCATAAAATCGAACTAAAATTCACATCATTACAACATTGTGATATTTTTGCTAATTCTATTCGATTTACAACCAGTCGAATTTACTATCACTATATTAAAGTAAATTAAATAAATTATGGACTAACATATTTCATATCTTACCTGTATAAATCAGATAATCAGATTCAAACTATGTTAATTATTGAAAAGATGAATTCGATCAAAATTCAATCAATTCAAGCATAATAATAATAACTCGTTGGCAAATCTAATATTACCGCTTAAAAAAAAGGAATATTCAGAAAGATAAAGAACATGTATGGAAGTTACGGTTTTATACACTCTTCAGCAATTATTATATCGATGATTTCTTAGTAATTTACTTCAGCAATATACGAAAACGTATCGGTTTAAAAAATTAACATTATGCTTTTCAGTTTATTAAATAGTTTGGATCTTATTCTTCATCGAGATTATTTCTAGTTTCCTAAGAGTTCTCTTTTGGATAATAAGATATAATGTGGAATAACTCAATAAATTCGAAATTATACACATAACCTGCACTACTAAAGATATTCAAAACAAGAAGATGACTGCTCCATTAATTTATTAATTTCTGTTTCTTACATGTTCTTGCTTTCTTTCTTCTTTGTTTCTTCTTTTCATTCCACTTTCTTCTTTTCCTTCTTATGTGCGTCACTTTTTCGGATCATGTATTCAATCCATTCTTTTCGCCGAAGCCTGAAAATTTAAGATATTTTATGAAATTTGAAATTTTTTAAATCAAACTATTCTAAATGAGAAAATTGCAAAGAAAAATAACGAGAAATACGTGATTTCTTTTTTGATATCCTAAATTTTTGGTGAAACATCAAAATCTTTCAAAAATTCACAATTTTGTCTCTTTTTTCGAACAACGCAAAACCATCATCTTATTCTGATGACTGCAAAATAACATTCTGTTCGAAAATTTCGAAAGAACTCACTGATTAGTTCGTATACGCATAATCATTGAAAATATAAAAGATATCACGAAAAAAGCCAATATAGTTTTCGTCCAATAATTTTCAGTATTTCTGAAATTTTTTGAAATCATTTTCAAATTAGTGAAAAATCTGCTTAATACGCTCACATGGGTTTTCCACTCTTTGCAATACTAGAAAGCTTGGAGTAAAAACTTTCAAAACTACTTTCAAATTTGTTGGCGATATTTATTTCGAATATAAAATAAGATGTATAGAAATCTAGCAGCATAAATATATAAAAACAACTAGTAATACTTAATAATTATTAATTCAAAATGATCCCATTTCAGTCTTCCAACACTTCTTTTTTCAAAAAGGATCGAAAATGAACCCTGCTTTCATAAAACTTTTATAATAGAAAAAATTGAAACCATGCTAAAATTACAAAAACGCCGACTACTTCCGAATCCAATGTGTTTCCATTTGATCCATACGTCTCTTCTGATACCACTCATACCATTTATCATTATCATATTGCGGTGTTCTCGCGTAAAACTGAAAAATTAATCTATGATTTAGCTGAACTTGAGAAAAGTGAAATAGATATTTGTTTAGTGAACTAAGGTAATAAAGTCAATCCATCTACGGCTTCCTGACATCACTTCAAAAATTTGATTTCACTGTTTAGCATTTTTATAAGATGACCTTATTTTCTCTAATAAGAAGTAACGACAAATAATATTACAAATTAGGATTTACAGTAAAAATATGTTCGTAGCAAATTTCTTTCCAACAAAAATGCTTCGATGTAATGCATGGAATAAGCTTTAATCAAAAAGCAATTTGACAACAGAATTTCCATTTTATAAAATTTTCTTCCCTCAGTACAGACCGTCTTACTCTTTTTCCCTTTCCAGTTCGCCCGCACCAAGACTAACATCTATTAAATTATTCCAAATGCTCAAATCTTGAATAGATCGTCAAATCTAAGCACTTATTAATATCTCATAAATGGCACCAATAAATTAAAAATATAGACCATCGACATAAAAACTTAAATCTGATGAATTGCATTTTTTATAGCTTTGACCAGTGGCTTCATTGTATTTCCGATATGTGCGATGAGGATTGAATGTATTGGCAAGTTCTAAATCATAATCCTGTCGTTTTTTCTTATCTTTCAACACTTCATATGCATTTTTGATTTCCAGATAAATCATCGGATCCTTTGACTTCCTCAGCGCATCCGGATGATACTGGAAACCAGAAAGGGTAAATAAAAATGAATATGAATAAGCCAATTTATGAAGCTATTTTATAACGCCAATAACTGAATCTTATCACAATGGAAAAAGTTAGAGGGAGAGTAATGGTAGCTTTCTGGAATACCGCAATAATGGCCATCACTCCGTTGCAGTCAAAAAATCTGAACCATAGAAATCGAAACAACAATCAATGAATTTTGATTTCAGGATACTTATCACATTCCAAGCATGACATTTCACCGCCTTACTTTTAGATAATTCTTTCATAAGCAAATCATTTTTAATTATGGAAAAAAAGAAAAAACAAACATCAATGGAGTACCAAATTAAGATGGAATTAATTCATAACTTTTAGGAATGAATCCGTGCAGTCTCATCCTCTACTAATTTCCGAATATTTCCATTAATTTCCAGATGAATGTTCTATTCAACGGAATTTTTAATGGTTGAACCATTGCAAAGGATAGTTAAAAAGCAATGGACGAAGGAATATGAAGAATGAATTAATTTCTTCATAATACTTAGTCAATCACTTACAATAATAATACATGCTGTGTGTTTTAAAGAAATGGATGAAATGTAAAAACTTCCATTTTGAAAAAAATTAAGATAAAATTGAAATAAATACACCTCTTTTGATAATTTATAAAAAGCGCTTTTAATTTCAGCAATCGAAGCATCGCGTTTCACCCCCAAAATATTGTAATAATTTTTCCCAGAGATATTTTGATGAGTGCAAAGTAACAGATATGAAGAGTAATACAGTGGTCGCCGAACCGATGGCATTATAAGACCATCAAAACGTGGTATACACATTTGAAGAAAATCAAATTTGTAAGTCGTACTTTGAGCAGAAATAAACCAAATAATAACTCAACCTGTAATAAATCGTTCCACGTAACGTAACGATGGAATAAAAGTGATTAAAGATAAATTTTCATAAAAAATAGAGAAGACGAATGAGGTAGATATCAAGAAAAACAACTATTGGCTAATTTTTGTATACGACGTACGTCGCTCATAGCATACCGTTCTCGTATCGAAAAATTGATAAAGCGCAGTGTTACAAAGTTAAAAGCAAGCAAGCTGGAAAAAAAACAAGTGGATGGTCGATTCCACACGTCAGCGTGAGATTGATTCAGCAAACACAAAGTAAGGCATATCAAAAATGATAAATTATCACTTTATAAAAACTACTCTGTAATCTTCATGGTGTAACGGGTTAAACTTCGAAAGATAATTTCAATGGATCATTAATTAATTGTACATATTTGTTGCCTCTGACTAGGAATATGAGAGAAATATAAAATTTAACAAGAAATAGAAATGACTAGAAATAGAAATGAAACGAGAAAAAAAATGGATATCGAGTGAGATGGAATGAATGATAAACGAAAGCAAGAAATAATTATTTAATTTTCGTTATCAAAAGAAATAAACTGTGAAACAAAATACTTCTAACTTTACCGTTTAAATATTTTCCATAACAGAAGCTGAATAATTTCCTTCTTAGGAAATCGACTAAGATGCAATGGAAAATTCCCACTATTTTGGCAATCAATGTACAAAAAATAAGAAAATTTTATAAAAATTATTTAACGACTTCCTGTGAATTTTGGATATAATCCACCTTGTAAGTTTAATTAATGACTTATTTCACCTGCAGTGGTTTTGAACAATTACCAAAACAAACAATTAAATAAATACGTAGGAAATAAGGAAGAAAAAACAAAGCAAAATTAGAAATTTGTCAACAAATAAATAAGAAATAATTTGGAGGAGTAAACAAAAAAGGTAAAAAAAATTAAAAATAAATGAATCTAAACTTGAAAACAATAATTAACAAACAAAAATAATAATCAAAGGAACAATTTCTTTTTTTCTTAAAAAGGGAACCAAACAATTTCAAGCAGTAGAACAAAATTTGATAACATGAGATATAAAAAAAATGGATAATAAATCAGTATCACAGGATGATAAATCAGTATCATAGTGAGAAAAATGTTCATTTTCAAAAACGATTGAAGATAGCATTTAATGGCTTGCAAAACAAATATTCAATTTCAATAACACCATCAAAATTTCCGATTATAATATGTTTATTAAACAAGTAAGTAAAGAAAAAGCAAAGGAAAACGAATGAATTATATATTTATACATAATCAATAATGTTATTTTATTTATATCACTTTGTATTTGTAACTGTTAAACATACAGTACTACAGTTGTAGCAGATAAATGATCGGACAGAAAAAGCTACTCTTCATTTACTATAAAAATTCAAATAAAATTATGGCAAACGATTTTCAAATACCTAACAACACGCAACCAATTCGGAACAAACTATACAATATAATAATGCTGTTTTAACAAGTTTAACAATGCAGAGGTATCAAAAGTTGAGCGCACAGGTAACAAATTCAAAAACTAAACTTTAGAACTTCAACATGCAAATGTTGAAGTTACATTCTTCGACTGCAGTTTTTTTCGCAAGCTTTTTTTATCAGTAAATTTTCCGAAAATAGTTTTAACTGTTATTTATCAACATCATCGATTAATAATTTTGCTCTAAAAAAGACAATAAAGAAAAAATAAAAAGAAACCATATTTCGAATCACAGGTAATTTTTATGTAGAGATGCAAATCAACGAATTCATCCGCATTACTTCTGTATGCACAAAAAACACTACTAATTCAACAAATTCCAAAAGGAAAACAAAAATCTATAAAGGTCACCCTTTCTACGATATATCTATGATCAGTTTTAGCCGTTTAAAATAAACATCCAATTATTGGAGTCCAAATTTAGGTACTACGAAAACAAGATGTCGAACTTTCCGCCGATTTCAAAGCCTAATATCGAACTCCACCAAACAACCTCAACCATTACATCCTGTTTGAAGAATTTGAAGAGATATTAACCACAGACAAAATTAATTCAATTTTTTCAGCCACAATATAGATAAGATTATTTCAATACACATGAAAAAACAGAAATACGATCCATCTTCAAAAACTAGAGCAAGAATATTGTGAAACAATACTAAAAAATATTTACGTTAAAGTTAAAAATTTATACTAAATTGAGCTAGAAGAAACAAATCGACTTAAAATCCAAAAAATTTAAACGGAATCCACAAATTTCTCAAAAAGAGGATCAAACTTTTTTGAATTGACTTCCATGAATTACTAATTATGTCAAGATTCATTCCGATATGAACAACAAGGAAGATTCTCTTCTCATTCCGATATGAACAACAAGGAAGATTCTCTTCTCATTTATATAACGTAAGCTATTAATTAATAATTTGCTTGAATATAGAAAGAGTGAACGAAGACAAAAGGAGAAAAAGAATAGAAAAGAATCATTTAAATGGATTTCCTTAAACTTTCAACATCCTTTTTATTACTATTTTCACAGTATGAAGATTCAGAATTTTTTTTGAAGTACTGATGTATAGAAGGTTTTCAGATATTCTTTCTTCTTGTTTGTCTTTGTTCTTCAACGACAGAAACATAAATGGCAATTTCTTTAATCCTTGTGAATATATGGATTATCCACTCTACCCTTCAGCAGAAAACTGTTGATAATAGCTTCCACAGCAGGATTTAAAGATTTAATTCGTAACACTTTTTTTCGGTTATCAACTTTAATACGCTTATTTTCATCAAAAGAAAAAATTATTTATTGCCACCTTTCATCAAAAGTACTAATATTTTAGAGGCCGGACTTTAAGTGTTTCACTTTCGAGACACAAATTTGAAATTCCAGAAATGAATATAGCATAACATAAATATTACGACCTATTTGCTCTTATTAGATAAATTTGAGAAACCAAAAAACCTTGCACGCTCTTTTCTTTTAGGATTTCGAATACACTTAAATAAGTACATCGACATTAGTAAATAGATGAATCTTGAAAAATTTTACCCGACTATTATTTGTATCTCTATCAAAAGTTGAGAAGTTCAGCATTAGGATCATCGTTTTCCATATTTCCAATTACATATTTTTTTTCTTAAGTTTTACCATATCTGATTTATTATCGTCGGCAGATTCTAGATACCTGTAAAAAGAAAACACAGAACATAAAATTCAGTTAAAAACCTACAAATTATTCAGAAGTTTGATAAACATTCGACAGTGTACGATCCTCCGGATAATGATTAAGTTATTTTCATAACCAAATCTTCTATAACATAAATATCTACATTTATCAAAAATTACATGTTGCAGATAATTAATAAGCTCCTTAATTTCCTTTTTGTTAGCATCTATATCTCACAGCACTGATATGCTCAATTTTCCCTTGTATCAAATCCAGAAAACATTACCAGATATATAACTTCTGCAGTATCAAAATGACTACTACGCCGCCAGCGGTGAAATACATCAGCGAATTATCCGAATTTTCTGTTAATCGCACATAGAAATCACGGCTGACGAATTCTCGAGCTGACATACCCAAATCTGCTGCGAAATTGCGCCTTTTTACTTCAGTATCATAAAGGTTAAACTTTTCTGATCGCTGAAAAACAAAAAGTAGTCCGCATTACTTTTACAAAACCATGGACATGCTTCATACATCCAATTTAATTAATACTGAAATATTAATTTACACCACAAAAATGAATTTTACCCTACTGAAACGTTTCAAACGTTCAATTCCCATCATTTGATCATATTGCTTTCTCCGTATTGGACGTCGTAAAACATCATAAGCAGTTTTTAGTTGCATGAACTGTTCGGTAAGATCAGGTGCATATTTATCCATGGATTGCAGCACTTCTGGATTGAAATTCTTGCCATCCGGATGCAGCTAATAATAATGTGACATTGAGAGAAATTCGTACCACCACTAGTATAGTAGCTCTTATTTCTTGTATAAGGTATTTTTTATTTGAAATAACTTCGAAACAAAAAAAATTTTTTAAAAAACTTTTTTCAAACACATTGCTTATTAGATTAAAAATGTGTTTTGTGGAATATAATATCAGCTAAATGATTGATTCAGACAACCAAATGATCGAAACGTCTGCTATATGTTATATAGTCGTCATATGATCAATATTATAGCTCGCACATAATGTTATTAATTGAATGGCAGAAGTTATAAAAAACTGATCAAACTTTAATTCGAAAGTTTTTTTTGAAAATATAATAATAATCCTTAAAAATTGAAAAATATTCTGCATGCATCCATATTCCTATAGATTTTAAGATTTAAGGTAACAAATTTCATGAAGTTAAATTAACAAATTGACGTTTCCATTATTTTCATATATCATAAGATGAAATATCCTAAAATGAAATCAATACTTTTAGAACTGAGAAGAGAAAGGATGGACATCATTCCCCATAATCATTTCCGTTACTACTTACTATTATCAATTTCTACTACATTTTTTTACCTGCAAGATAAAAAATTAAAATTTAAAACTTACTTCTTGCGATTTTTTGACAAAGGCATTCTTTATTTCTTCATCCGTTGCATCATATGGAATGTCCAACAAGTCGTAGTGATTTCGTTTCCTGAAAAACCGGAGGGTAAGAGAAACAAAGAGATAAAATTACAGCTACGCAACTTGAACGAAATACAACTTTTATCTGATATTCCACTATTAAGTAAATATATGTGTCAAAAGAACACTCGAACTTCAGCTGCCTAAATCGTAAACTCTGAAGAACTACTTTTCTAGAAAGTATCTTACTCATAACCCAAACAAATTAAATTGTGGAGGTACAAAAAAACAAGCGGGAGAATAACAGACCTTCGGACATAAGATGCAAATCCTTTCCTTTGAATAATAATCCCGAGTACTGACCCACCGAAACGCAAACAAGGCTTCGTGTTTACTGAACCAACAAATCTCCAATCCATCATATCAAAACCAATTCATCAATTTTTTGATAGCTTCTAAAAGCATTTTCACTGAATTTAGGAGATTTTCAGCTTCGATTTCGTGCAGGACTTTGCAACCGACTGAAATATTTCAGAACTGCAATGAATTATCCACGGAGAAAACGGTTATGGTGGACCGCATCGTTTATAGTAATAAACTTTTACTCCTTCAAACATATAATAAATATAGACATTCAACAAAGAACAAACAAAAATGCATGAATAAAAATTTATTTTGAATGCATATACATATGATAATAGTCTTTTTGTAGTATAACGACAACTTTTTGAGAATCCTTTATACAACACGTAAAATATCTACAAGCATGGGTTTGAATGAAAAACTCAAAGCAATGAAAGCTAGTTAAGTAGAAAATTTAGGATTCAGTTGAACCCAAAGATAGTATGAAATTTTTTTCTGCGAAAATGCTGACTTCTAAAAACTGAATTAATTAGTGACTAATTAACTTTCATTTTAGTTGATATTCAGAAGTAATATATAACTAGAAATATGGATAAAGAAAAACCATAGCTTCTAGTATATAACTGACAATATTTTTTTCAGGCACGAAACATACAAACTCACCGAAAACAAAGCAAAAAATAATAGATAACATACTTTAAAACACTCATCGCTACCGCTATTGCTACAGTGAAATGCCTAACAACGGTTTTCGTTGTCAATCAAACCTTTTCGACCTGTATTCAATAGTAAGCTTGATTCAGGTACTATTTTACTCTTAATTTTGCTAATATCCGTTAGAGCACCGTACTCTGAATCTAATTCAATTTCCATTTGCCGTTTTTCACGTCCTTCCTTCACCGACGCATCTAAATATGGGATTTTCTTTGGAGTATAAAACTTCTGCTCCAGGAAATAACCAACTGCACTAATTACCATCACAAATGGCATAACAAGTATTTTTGAATTTCTCGCTGAAATATTGTACTATTTATCGGTTGGAAAAATAAAAAAAATAAATAAGAGAACTAATTGAATCATTCTTACAGCTCTGATTATTATTGTTTCGAAAATTATTCTACTTCATTTATTATCCATACTTTTTTGTTTCGAATGAAAATAAATGAACTAGAATAATTTTATAAATCCACAACGCTGAATTCTTGTAATTTCGAGAAATTCGCAAACTGCATCATTTTTATAACCAATCACAAGCTTAATTCAGACTATCCCTCCGTTATACTTGATGAAGTGTGTTATAATTCAGATGCTATATTACGTTTCATTCCACACTTCTTTCACTTCATTATCCATTATGTCTCAAAAATATCAACTACTAAGTTCCGCTTTCCATTCCATCTAAAACAACAATTAAAGTTATCCAAATTTTTGCTGTAATTTCAAATTTCTAGTAATAAACGAACAAACGAACCGATCAAAACTTGCCACATTTCGGATCATTTACTGCATCACGATGTATATCCTGGAAGAAAATATCGTACAAATTATAAGAAATTCGACATATTGAGGGGAGAAAGTTATCAGTCACATGCGCTAATATGTATATTATTCCCAATACTCTTTAATACGATGTTATTTGTAATACAAATAATTTCAAGATATCAATAGTTTTTAATAAACGTAAACCGCTGTTTACCACGTAAGTAATTTAAGCCAACACGTACGCAACGCTTCACTTTAAACTTATTTATTTCTTTTTCAGTGAAGAATGAGAGAATTACAGCAACTCGTAACTAAACCCACATAGCAATTTCATTTTCTCATAACATTTGTCTTATTCATTCGCTACTTTTTTCAATTCTTCAAACTAACTGCATTATCTCTATTAACTCTATCAATCACTGCTATCCTTTTTATCTCAATATTTTTCTAAATGTATCACTGATACTATATGATATCGTATTTAATGTCTCTATTATCCCACCAAATCAAACGTTATTTTTCATTATCTAATTCTTTAAAAATTTTTATAAATCTAACTATTATTTATATTCTTTTTAAAATTGCGCAATTTTTCGAATGAATCATTTATTTTGATAGTTTGTTAGCGAACATTAATATATGTTATTATCGGCGAAGTTTAACATTTAAATTACAGGAAATCATATATTATTTAAATTATAGTTTAAAATTCAAATATTTCATAAAAGTTCAATGTTTATGAATCATATTTTTAAATAGCAAATTCTCATCAAGAATGAAATTACATGAAGGTATCCAATCTAGCAGAAGTTAACCCGAGCTGCCTGATAATAATAATCAGTCAAATTACTCATTGAGAATTATCCAACATCAGATTTATTCATTAATAATAATCACTGCTAATTAATTACGGTTAACCGATCTAATCAATAATAATTTGTTTAATTACTCTTCTCCAATAAACTCTGTTATACGCAGCGAAACTAATCAATAATCGTCATAAAGAAATATAATTTTGTTGATAGTTATTATAAATTAATACATAATTTCTGCCTAAACTTATCCAAATCAAAATTAGCGAAATTTATGCAAAAAGTAAAGAAAAAGTTCATTTACTAATTTGTCTAAAATCATCAAACTGTTCATTTCAATGGGTTGGAATGAATAAAACGATATGATATATTTATTGGATTATTTTTCACATAATTAAAAAACAATTTAACACAGATAACAATAATCGATATCAATATTATTTCATTTTTATCATTTCCCAATCATGATTTCAGAAATAAATTTTTCGTTTATAAATTATTATTTGCTAATTGTTTGTGATATTATTGATTAAAATGATATTTATTACGGGAATGTATAATGTAGCACTGAACCAAAGCTAATGAAATATTTTCAGCAAAAAATTTGAAAATGCCCGATTTGAAAATTGAATTTTACCATTTTTTAGTTTCGATCTTAAATGTCGAAATTTTAACTCAACATAAATCCAATTCCTCACGATACATTTCATCCAAGGTATCCTTGAATTTACTCCTGAGTTTATTCCGGATAATCTTTAAAGTTGGTGTCAGTAATCCGGCTTCGACTGTGAATTCTGCCTCCAATAAGTGTATGTTTCTAACTTGTTGAATGCCACTCAAACCTTTGCTGCTACCAAATTTTCGTAGCTTAGCTAGGAAATATTGTCGTACATTTCGATCCGAAAGATATTCTTCCGTGGATAATTGAGATTTCATTGATAAGTTTCCAAACTCACACTATAAAAATGCGAATTATGATTTTTTAATTTAAACTTTGTGAAATTAATTTTTTCAGTAATTTCATGCTTAATTAAAGCATAAGATGAATAGACAATTGTCAGAGGTATAAAATTAAAGTTTTGACAATTTTTAAAAATCCAATTAAAAATTACCTTCTTGTTTGATTTTTGAATATCAGCACGGAGTTTCTCAACATCAACAACAGCGATAGCTATCAAATATGCATGCATGGTTGATCCATAAACGAAAATCTAAAATGATAATCTTCTTTTTTCCTTTTTGACAGACTGATAAAATAAAGACATTTCCAATCAACCGCAAAGGAAAAATTCAGGAATTTTATGAAAATTTTAAAGATTTTTTTAATATCATTTTTAATGGAATGAATAAAATGATTTTAAGAAAATTTAGTAAAAATTTTATGACGAAAAATTTCTTCCCAAAAATATCAATCATTTATTTTCTTTTTTCTTTCACTTCTTTCGAGGCATACCTGTTTCACCAAAGGATGTTGTAGGTAGACATTTTCAATTTGCTCAGGCGATACAAAATCTGCCTGTGCTAATTTGAATAAAGTATTTTTCCGATCAATAATACGCAATGAACCATTAGGTAACCACATTCCAATATCACCGGTATGTAACCAACCCTGAATTGGAGGATTATAAAAAGACAACGATGAATTTGATACATTTTTCCGTGAAGTGAATTATATCTTTAAATAAAGCTCTTTTTCTTCCATGCTAACTATTTGAAAAATGATTTGAAACTTTTTGATGGTAAAGTACGCTAATATTAATTTATCCCTGATTAACCTCTTGATCTACTGTTTTTGATGTGAGTTCTGGATCGTCAAAATAACCATCCATAAGACCAGCACCACGGAAACACACTTCACCGGTATTTTCTTCTGCACTGTATCCTAATTCTTTTACATCCACTAATTTCACCTAAATAGTAACAGTTCATTAGGAATGTATGAATTTAAATTCTCAAAATTATCATTGGGAGAAAATATCTTGCAAGAAATCAAAAATTGACTTGAGCCCAAACTGCTGGTCCACCAACATGTCCAGCAACAGTATCAAAAGGTAACGATATGGTACCGGCTGCAGAACATTCCGTTTGACCATAGCTATAAGAAAATTCGTATATATTGGGAAAATTATAAGTTTGAATTATTTCGATCAAGAAATTTCAGTCTTCTTTTTCCCTTAATCTATTTGAAATTATTTATTAAAACACATTTCACATATTTCTTTTTTTTTGCTTGTATGATCTTTGACCCATTTTTAAACTTGAAAAGGTAAAATTTTAAAGAAATGAGAAAATTCATAACATTTACCCTTCAACCAGTAAACAGCCGTAAACAACTCGTGAAAAATTCATTACATCAGTGGAAATTGGTGCACCACCAGATGTTATCAGTCGTAATTGACCACCAAATAGGGCTCGAGTTTTTTTGAAAACAGTTTTATCCCATATTGTATTAAAATGAAGTTGTCCTTTGGCTAATTGTCGTAATTTGGACTAAATATTTATATTTAACAAATTTTCAACAAAACATAATTTGTTATATTAATTGGAAAAACTTCACCAATAAGTTATAAATTTCCTATGGTAATTAAGTCAATTTTTAGAATTACTAAAAATAATCAATGGAGTAAAACATACTTTTAATGCTAAATGAAAGATGAATCGTTTGATAATATTTTGCCTTCTTACGTTTTCCAGCACTATATCATGATAACGATTCAACAATCGTGGTACTAAAGCAGCAATTGTTGGTCGTAGCAGTCGCATATCATGAATTATTCGTTTTGGATCACCACCATATATACCAATTCGACCACCAATGTAAATGATAAATGCCTAGATCGATTGATTTATTTTTGCTTAACTTAATAAATTCCACTTATCGGTGAAATATTTGAAAATTTATGAGAAATTTCATTTATAATTTAAAGGCCTATTATTTATTTAATTTTTATATTTAAATTTTAAAGTCATTATCGGCAAAAAATTAAAGGAAAACAAAATAAGAAAGGTTTATTGACCTCAAATAGTTGTTCATAAATATGAGCAAGCGACAGAAATGATAGGTATACGTCATTTTCATCAAAAATAATATCATGAGGTGGTAAACACCATTGAACATATAGCCCACTCATCGAAACTAGGATTGCTCGATGCGACAATTGAACACCTTTAGGAGTTCCTGAAAATCAAATGATTTGTAACTTGTTCAGATATATAATTTAGTTGTAGGCCAAGATTTGATGATATCTAAATACTGTCTGGTTTTATCTGAGATATATTTGCTATGTCAATGTATAGAAATTATAACGATATTCTTTATTAATTTATAAAACAAAGACAAAAATTAACTTAATTTTTTTTTCAACTTACGCTTGAATAATCGGAAAAATGGTCTGACCTGTTGTACCGCTGGTATGACAAATGATATAAATACTCGATGGTGATGGCGGTGTTACTGGCTTTAGATGTGCGTCACCAAGTTCCAATACATAGTCCCAATCATAAACCTGAAATTATCAAATTTTTATAGTTAATTTCTCAAATTGCATACTAAACATCCTATTTCATGATGCAAGCTTATTTTTTCCTGTACTAATAATTAAAATTCAATAATTATTAATATCCATTTTATAGGTGGCAATTAATATCCGAGGATTGATCGTTTGTGCATTAGAATAATTCTTAGAAGAAGAAGAAGACAATATACCTCAATTTCTGAATGCTTGCAAAATTCACGATCAATTTTCTCTTTCGAATCATTCAAAATGATAATTTTTTTCAGCTTTTTAAGCTTTTTTTGTTGTATTTCAACAACAAATTTATTGGCTCTCTCAACAGTATCACAGAAAATTAATTCCAAATTGCAACGTTCAATAATTGTGCTGAAATTTTTGAATTTCAGTTTGTCGGAAAAAAGAGCAATTAATGTAAAATTTAAAAATGTTTCAATATGAGAAAGATAAATATTAAAATTTAAATAAACTTTTATTACTTAAGTTAAATGAAAAATTAAAACGAGAAAGTTAATATATCAGTCGTCATAATCTGGCCGAATATTTAAGTCATATTATATGAGATAATTAAGTTATATTATAAAAACACTTAAGCCATATTATATGAGATACTTAAGTCATATTATAAAAACACTTAAGCCATATTATATGTTTCTTGTTACTATTTTTAGAACCAAAAATCAAATATTGAAATTTGCATGTTGAAATTATCCATTAATTTTCATGCTACTTGTAACTTTAAGCTATTATTTAACTAACCATAGAACATCCATATTATAGTTGTAATACAGTGGTACCGATACAATAGAATAATTCATCAAAGCATTTTGAGCAATGATATAACGAGCCGAGTTAACGCCAGCTAAACCAACTCGGCTAGTTTCGCCTGCATCAATGCCAAGTTGTAATAAAGCAGAACCAATCTTATGTGATGCAGTATATATCTATAAAATACATGCTGCTTCAAATTAACGCAATTATTTTAGACAAATTTTTTTATTGTTAAATTAACAAAATAACACAAACGCTAAAAATGGTTTATCGAAATTAATAAATAAAATAACATATACTTCAATTTGATTAATGAATTGTTAAGGTGAACTTCTGCAGTTCTTTGCTACCACTCCAATAAGTATAATCAAATAAATGATAGAGGAAAAGATAAATAATAAGTAAAGTAATAACCTGCTTGTATGTTTTCCATTTATATGTACCGTTTTTAGTTTGTTCACCGATAAAATCACCGTTATTTGTCAACCAAATAGCTCGCTGTAATAGCTCAAACATTGTTGTTACATTACCATCCGGTGGATATTCCAATAATTCTAAGATTCATAAATATTAGTTATTGTTACCAATTATTAATTATTATTATTATTATGATTTTAAGTTATTTAATTGGAATCAAAAGAAGGAAAAAAAGTGATATTCATTAAATTCTAAGACAATATTATTATTGTTAAATTAAACAATTTGTATTAATTATGGAAATAAAATAAAAATTAGTTTATTTCTTTTTCTTTTTTAAGCTATTAATTTGCCCATTTAATCACCGTAATTTCTGAATTAATATTCAATTCTTCATTATATAAATGATCATTTCGAAATTGTTCAAAGTATCTTCACAACAGATACTTCATATGAATAATTTTCATTACTAAATTGTCAATTTAAATCTTTCACATTAATTTAAATTATATGTTTAATTGTATTGAAAGTTTCCCAATATTTCTACTAATATTAGAGTTGTCTTAAATTTCACTCTAATGGTTGACTCCTTCGTTGGATATAAATATAAAATTATAAGTTACAGTCATACTGTAACAATTCCTTTTACTATAAATATATTTGCCTCATTTTATAGTTCAAAGAAGAAAAAGGAAAAAAAATAAAGGAATGCAACATTTTACAACGAAAAAACTGAGCACGAAAAATATGACGAAATGCAGAAACTTACCATTTTCACGAATTAAAACTGATTCATGAATTCTTTCCGGACCAGGAATTATCCTGGAGTAAGTTGGAAAGCGAGGAAATTTCGCTGATATTCTACGATAATTGGTTGGCATTTAATTAGGCAAAAGATTATAGCAGTGATAGAAACGTCACAGTTCAATTATCGCAATCAATGGAAACGATAAGAGCGGCGTTTTGTTTTCTGAATTGATGTCGCATATCGTTGTCAACTCACTTCCGTTATCGTCACTCTTCCACCTTCATCTTATAGCCTATCAAATACTATTATCATCTACCCTTCCTGTCTCTCGGAATAATCAAGTTCAATCATCGGTACCACTACAATTTGCTCATCATTATTCATCACTACCGCGTTTCTTTCTTCTTTTCTAATTGGAAGAAATTTGCTCGCCCTATATATTATCAAAATTTTTAATACCTTCATTTTTCAATACCTTCATTTCCTTTTCTTATGAAATGGAATAGTTTTCGACAGGCAATCTCTGAAAATAGCATATAAAGTAAATGACAGATTGTAACACTTTAATAATAGACTTTCAATAATGAACGAAAAATTCTAATTTCCAAAAAACAAAAAGCAAGAATATATTACTTTTAAGTTCTGAATTCAATTTACGATCTTAGTTTAAACATTTGAATTTAAGATTTAATTTTAGTTTTGCAAAGATTTAAATTTATAAACACTCTTCAACGACAGATGTTTTAAATTTTTTAATTTTGAATACGCTTCTTAGAAGTAATATGTAATATAAATTAATTTTATTTTTAAATTTAAAACAATTAAAACTGATGATATTCTTTACTGTAATGAGATAATATACAAATTTTAGGTATTGCGTGAATTTTCTCATTGCAATTTTCAGAAGACAAGTAAATGAAAAAGCTGGAAACATTCAGAAATTCATTTCCCTTTTTCATACATTCTTTTCAATTCTTTTCTACCGGAAGTTTTCACCGGTTTTTAAGCTTTTTCATATCATGAGGAAAACATTAACATATATCTCAGGAAGAATTATACTTCCCCGGTATTTCCTCTTTAAGAATAAAGAGATGGATTGGTTCTTTTAAAATGATATTGTAATTCATAAAACTGCTATTCATTCAATATTTCTGGTACTCAATTGATAGTTGAATTTTATTTTAAATGTTCAGTGCTATGCTGGCATTTGCTAATTATTGGGATTATTCATATCTGACCTATAGTAGTGTTTATTAAATATTATCATCTTCAAGGGATTGATGAAATATGAAAAAATTTCTAAAATGTGACACAAAATATGCACTTTTCAGTTGTTATCGTTAATATTTATTATTATTATTATTATTATTATTATTATTATTATTATTGTTATTATTATTATTATTATTTATTATATTTATTGCATTATTAATTCATTGCAATGTGATGAATTCTTTTTTGAAAAATTTCGCACTGAAGCATTTAAAAGAAAAAATTATTATATTTTCATATTAATATATTAAAATATTTTAAAGTATAAAATTAAAATACCAATGATATGAGCATTGTCAACATAATATGAACTGGCATTGATAAATACATATGTACACATATCATCATATCCTGTCGTTGTATGAAGTGACAAAAATGACAAAATTTTATGTTGCATTTATTCGGCAATAATATAAAAATTTAAATGATTAATCAATTTAATATTTTGATTTTGATCATTTTCAATTCTTAGCCATTTATTTTGTTCTTCGATTGATTTAAGCATTGTTAAAGTAATCGATATGCAAATATTTCTTAACAATTTTCTAATTAAAATTTCTTATTGGAAATGTGTCAAAACAGAAATACGTAAGGAGTAGATTTCATTAGTTGATTATTTCATTGTATTTTCATTCATAATTTATAAATCTTTCTTTCTCATTTCTTCCTTTATGATTTCGCTAATACCGTAATTTTATTGATGAAATTAACACAATCAATCAATCAATTAATTAACAACTGAATTACTGTTTGATGTTACTTAGCATTTAATTATGATTGGCATTAATCAAAAGTTATTATCCTTTTGATAATCTATTTTGGATTGTTTGATTTTAAAATAATTTGATTAATTAAAACAATCTTAATTTTTCACAGTAGCTTTTTTTTCTTTTATATTTGAAAGGATACTAATTTATCTGTAATGGAATTTTTGCTTATTTCAGGAAGAAAATTAAGGGAAAAGGAAATTTACTCCTTGCAAGAAATGACTGTAAAGAAAGTTTAAAGCATTAATTAAAATGACATAAACAAATATGGTTTTTTTTTTTCTATGCTTCCCAAATCAAATGATAGTTTAAATTAATTGCATAAAATAATAAATACGTTTGATTTTTGTTTGTTTGTTTGTTTGTTTATTCTTCTTTGCAACAAATATGAAAAGCTTTAATTTAAAGTTTCATTAGCTTCATTTTAGTAATTTCAAGAAAATAGCAAATAATATCGGTGTGATTGAAAAATGAAACAAAACATTTTTTTTTTTTCTAAAAGGTTAAAAGTTGAAAGACATAATTTGCTAATTATTATATTCTAATTGGCAATTATTTCAAAAATTATGTTTAACTGTCATTTAATTTCGGAAATTCATCGGAAGATCACATCTTTTTATGTCATTTTAATTTCATTTTTGATATGTTACTGAAAATAATATTAAAAATAGAATTTTCAATTCATTAAACAATAATCTGTCAGTATTTTTCCTATGCTAATGTTGCGATTTTTTATCTTAGCTTTCTTCTACATGAATTATATTCATATATTTTCGTACATATATATACATATAAATTATATGTATATATATATATGATAATATTAAAAAATACACAATTAATTAACAACACATAAACGAAGTTCATCAAGTGATTATTAGCATAATATTATATTAATTACGTTCACCTGAAGGTAATTTAACAAATATAAATATCAAAGTGTAATATTACTACTCATAGAAAATTATAATATCATACCAACGCTATGAATTGAAACCTTCAAGAATATATTTGAGACAAAACTGATAAAATTTCCTAAACAAATTTTCTGCTTTGTCATTATAACGATCTTGTAATATCTCGCTGATCATATACAAAAATGGTTCTTCCATTAATTGAAAATCACTGCCATCAATTCCACCTGTCTATAATGATTAAACTGTAGAATAATTAAAGAACAATGAAACCTTTACTTTAATTAGCGTATAGAAAGTGCCACTTTCATTACAAATTATCGTAAAGAATTAAAATTGAAAATAAAATTATGAAAAATTTAAATTATCCTTCGAGTGCTAACTATTCTTTCTTCAATAATATTTTCCTCTTTATAACTATAAATAAGAAAAGCAAATCGAAAGAATAAAAAGGTAAAAAATTAAAATTATAAATTTCATTGCATTCATTTTCAGCGATTTGTTTACAATCAAATTAGCAATAATTAAATTTAAGCACAATTTTTGAAAAATAATTTAAAGTTCGATTTTTAAGAAATATTCCAATTAGGTTTAAATTGCATGCAATACAATTAAAACAAAACCATTTCACATAGGTGAAAAAGATATTGTTTGCTTTTAATTAATTTTCTTTTTTTAATTAGATATTATCATTATCAACATTTCATTTACTTCGCATTAAATTTCAAAGATTTTGAAATATTCGGAAATGAATTAAACAAAAAAGTTGCAATAATTTTTTTTCTTCGCTTTTCACCTTATCTGGTAACTATTCTAATTTAATAATTCTATTTTAATTAAATAATTAATTTTTTATTAAATCAAAAAATTTAATTTTACTTAAATTTACCTCACTCCTATGCATTTTACCGACTGCTTTAAGTCGTGTGCAAGCATCGGAGACGTCCGTTGGTTTTTCTTCAACTATCGTTATTACATCATCAAAAACCTATAAGAAAGGAAAACTCAATTTTCTTCTCTTCAAAACTTTAGCTTACATTTTATTTGGTGATGAATTCCGTTATCAAATGCTAACCTTCAAATAATTTGCTGCAATCGTTTCGAAACCTGAATCTACCGTTGCAGCATTTACCGTCTCCACATCAATATTTTTCAATTTCGGATATTTTTCCTTATTATCCGGATTCTGCTTTAAGTATCTGCAAGCTAAGTTTTTATTTATTGATAATTAATAATAATAATCATAATATTATTAGCAATAACATTATTATTATTATTGTTATTATTATTATTATTATTATTATCATTATCATTATTATTATCATTATTATTATTATTACTGCTACAACCTGATGAATTAATTTTTTGTGAAAAATTAAATAATTATTGCAACAGTATTAATGAGCTTTTGAGAACAAGAGAGTGCTATAAAAACTTAATTAAATTTAAATAAATACAGTATTAATTCTATAATAATAATTGCTGTCACGAAATTTGACTATTAATAATTCAACATGTCACGTAATGTGTGGATTTATATTTGTGTATAACAATGTTAATTGACCTTTGAAGTTTATTTTATCTATAAATCTTGCTTCATCTATCTAATTCTCATTTTCTTTTCCTTAAAATGATTATGTGTAATTGGATTTGTTCAAATTATCAATATTGTCCAATCATATGCTAAATTATTTAAGTAGTAAAATATTGGCAAAAAAATAAAAATATTTTAATCACTTCGTAAATTCGTAAAATTCACGGATTGATTTTTGAAGAGAAAATAAATTGAACTCTCGTTTGTATATATACATTTATGATTTATATATAAATCATATCTGTCATTATGTATATATATATATTATGAAGTATACATGATTAATTCGTTATTTAAAATGAAAAAAATTAGATTTGTCATTGGTAACCTTTTATTCAAACTAAAAATTATTCAAACTAAATATCACCAACTAAAGTACCAACTTAGCAAACATCATTTTGGCGCAATCACGTTCATTTCGTCTTACGGTTTTCCAATAATTCTTCAATGTGAATAATTCTCGAAAATTCGGATATGGTAATAGTGGGTCCACTTTTTGCTGTTCACCATTTTCAGCTCCGGCATCACCACCACCACCACCACCACCACCACCACCACCAACATCACAACCACCACCACCGGCTAAATTACGTGACTTAGCCGGTACACTACCTCCCGAACCCATAAAATTTTTAATTAGATTAAGCAACAGATAGTTCCAAATGTCAACCGACTAGATCTTTAGAATTTTCCATTAATATTAAATCTTTTTTTATCACTATAAGCTATAATTGTTGAGTGTATGCAAGAGAAGCTAATAGAACAACGAATATATCGTCTTCTTGCTCTAAGAGATGAATTTAAGAAATATTTCACGGGAAATATCAAAATGCGGAATTGTTAGAGAAATCAGGAGTTATCAGTTATTCAGTAGATGTAGAAAACTCATAGAAGGGTAATCGTTCTTCCTTTTTGTTGGCACTAAAATGAGAAATTCAGCATAAAGTTTTTTTACTTATGCGTTTAACAACTTATGAATAAAGAACAGTAAGTTTAATATAATTTCGACGATTTCGAAATTCAGCAATTTTCCAACGAAATAATTTCACTTCTAAAGCATTTCATATAGTCAAACAGTTCGTTCGATCATTTAGCAATCGCCAATCGATCAATAAATATAATAATTTAATAAATTAAACAGTGGCAGATAGTAATAAAAGTAATAGAAGAATTTTCATTCGTTTCGAGAAATTGTAGATGAATGAATCTAGAAGAAAGGAAGGTAGAAATAATCACTTAGGTACTGCAAACTTTTCCAGCAGCTGTCATGACAACCGTTTTATCTCTTCCTCTTTTTCCTTTTTCACTTTTTACATTCAAATGGTATCACACTAATAATATCTTGAACAACGATTGATAATACATTTTCATTATCTTCCCTTTTTTTCTTTTCATCATTTCTTATTAATTAAATAAGACATATTACTTATTTATCATAATCATTTTTATCACGTATCATCATTTTCATTTTGTACTGATAAGAATGCACAATTTTAGTAAGAAATATTTGATATTAACTTTAAAATGAGAGGAGAAAAAGAGAAATGAAACTGAATAATTTATAATTGCATAAATTATTTATTCATTAAAAAGAAAAAATATGCTAATAGTTTTTCATTATTGTAAATTCTGAATTAAAATCTTAACTTTTAAGCAATCGCTCGTTTACTCTAACATTCAACGATTAATAAATTATAACTTTCTAAGTTAATGAATTTATAATTTTTAACAAATGTAAAATATCTTTCATTTTTTTAGTCATAAAAACAGCTTCATTTTTGTCAAAATTGATATTAATCTTTAATTAATTTCAAAAACAAATATTTATCACACTATCTATTTTATCATTTATTTATTCTCATTTTATTTTAAATTAAAACGTTTAGAAATCGTTGTATGCTTGCTGTTTTAATGTGTTTGTAGAATGGATCGATGATATTGTAAGCATTGAAAAGTTTTGGGATAGTTGATGCAAACCTATTTTTAATTCAATCTCAAAGCTATTCAAATTTTCATATGATTTAATTAATTCAAAAAGTTTGAGATTTTCCTATCATTACAGCAGTATATATTAGATATTAGAATATAATAAAAGATAATAATAATTAATAATAATAATAATAATAATAAATAATAATAATAACAATAATAATAAGATAATTATTTAATGCGGTAACAAATCGGTTGAATCGAATATATTCTTGCAGAAGAAATGAAAAAAAGAAATGAACAAAACAATTTCATTAATAATATCGCCTGCAAATTCTATTTACTTATTTAAATGGATAACACTGACGTATTTCCGACAATATTTCATGTAAATATCTAAGTGGAAAATTAAAGAAGCAAATTTGAAAGCAAAAGAATTAATTTATTTATAAAAAGTTTTCTGGAAATTTTCATGAAGCTTTAGAATTGTAGTAATAAATAATTATTTCTAATTATGAATTTTTAAGAATTATTTGTGACAAATAATAATTATCATTGTTCGCTCTGTCATTAAGTTGAAAAATTAATTGCCCGCAGTAATTATTGTTTATTATTCAGTTTTACATAAGTATATGAAATACTTAATTCCGGTTTTTTTCATTTTCATCATGTCTATAAAATCTTAAAATGAAATGAGTAGAATTTTTATACGTACGGAAAACTGTATTTCTCTTTTTACGAATTGTTCTTTAAAATAAAAATAAAGTGAATTGCATTTTCTTAGTTTAATATATCTTTTTAATAACTATCATACTAATATCTTCTTATCAAAGATTGTTTCAAATTTGTTAATTGAAATTGCCATAATGAAAATTATCAAACCTTTGGAACATTATTACAGCAGCTTGCATTCTTTTGCGGCCAACTGATTTCCAATAATTTTTCAGAGTAAAAAAATCGCGATAGGTAGAAAAACCGATCCGTTCATCAATTTGTATAATTGGTTTTGAATCTGGCACCGATAACGCTGATTGATTATCTTTTTTATGCTTTAATTTTTTGAATAAAGCCATTTGAATTCGAATCAAATTGATAAATCCTGAAAATTATAGTAATTTTCTTTTCTTTAAATCTTCATAAAATATTGCTAAATTAAAGCAAAGTTGGAAAAAACAAAAAAGAAGAGCCTATTGATGGAATTGAGTAAATAACAATTTTATAAAGAAAATTGCTCTTAAACTTTCGTATAATTCAATATGGTCGTAAAATGTTTTACGAAGATTGTTTATTGCCAAGTGGGAAAAGATGCGAAATATTATTGAAAGATTTTTAAAAAAAATCAATAATTTATTTATTTATTCATTTTTCGATTTAAAAGTAATAAAGTAAATATTCATTGTTTTAATTTAATTATTAAAATGATATAATTTTTTCCTCAAAAATTTTGATAATATTTTAAATGATAGTAAATTTGTTTTAATGAAAATAGAAAAAATTCCATCGCATATTCGACAATTTTTCAACTTCATTTACAACAATTGCAATATATTCTAATTTCAAGAAAGATAAGTTATCACAATGAAATTATTTACTTCAAAATTAAATCGAAACTTTCAACTTTGTTATCAGTGATAAGAAAGAAATGAAAAAAAAAAAGGAAAGTTTTAAAGTAAAAAAATTTTCCCAAAAATAAGAAAATTTTATTTTCGTTTTTTATTCAATCAAAATTTCATCAAATATATTTCATATATAATATGTAAATGAAGTTTTTTTGCTTTCCTTTTCTTTCTCTGTTATGCTATATGGAATGGCTGGCTGGATGGCTGGCTGGCTGCTGGCTGGCTGATAAAATAAATGAGAAATATATGAAAGAGTAAAATTGAAAAGATATTTTTGATTTATTTTCCAAATACAATTTATTTGAATTTTTTTAAAAATCTTTGGCAAATGAAAAGCGCTATATATCAGAAGAAGCTTTTTTCAATTAAAAAGTTAAAATATAAGCATAATAATAATAATTTTAATGAAAAAAGGCTTTTGATAATGCCGAATGAAATGATGAAAGTTTGTTTGTCGGGAAAAATATCGGGAAAAATCGGGAAAATCGTGAAAAATATTAAGCATAAATAAATAATTATCAAAACTTCTTACAACTTAATACATTCTCCTAAAATTGCCGAAAAGAGATAAAAGTGAAAAATTGAACCTTTTGTTTCATTCTTATTATAATTTAATTCTAAATCATTCGAGCCTTAATTCATTTTATTGTTTTACTTTTAGACTAAATATTTTCTCGGTTGATTAAATCGTAATTAATAATTTATTCGTAGTCGTAGAATTGTAGTAAATGACGTTAAAAAGCTTATAATTAATAAATTAAGCTTATGACGTCTTTTCATCGCACTTTCTAAATCGTTCAATGCGAACAATTTCAATGAATAATTATTGGAAAATAAAATTCTCAAATTTTATTTAACAATTAAAAATACAATGTAAATATAGCGAATGAATGAGAAAAATTTTAATAATTCAAATTAAATTGGCAATTTTTGAAATTTTATTAATTATGAAAATTTTTAATTGCCTTTCTTTTGTTTTTTTTTCTTATTAAATTAATTTTAATTTCAAAATTCATAAAAGAAAAAGCAATTTTTTGAGAATTTTGAGAAAAATTTAAGGAAAAAAAGGAATGAGAAATATCTATTTTTAACAATTTTCCTCATTTATGTTTCTTTCGATTATGAAAATTTTGGAAATTTAATAAAATGAAAATTTATTGGAATATTTCGATTATAAAACATAATTCCTTTCTCTCTCTTCCCCTCCCTCTCTCTCTCTCTCTCTCTCTTCCTCTCTCCCTCTCTTTCTTTTAATCCCTCAAAATTAGACAAAAAAAAAGAAAGAAAGATTTTCAATGTAATTTTTTTTTTGTCTTTCAATTAATTAAAAAAGTTTTAATTTTTTTGGACTAAAAATAGGAAAACATTTCACTGAAAGATTTTTTTTGTTTTAATTACAAAATTTTTAATTGCAAACAAAATCAAACAAACGAAAATGAAATTTTTGCATAATTCTTTTTTAAAATTACAATTTTATAATTAATGAAAATGAATAAGACAATGGTACGTTAATATGTTAATTACATTAATTAATGTAAGGTAAATAAATTATTTGAATTTGTTTATTTTAAAATGAAAATATTACATACATTCTTTTTGGCTTAAATATATTTGATGATGGAAAGAGAAATTTCATTGAATGAGAGAATAAACGGGGATGAAATTTAACAAAATAGATAGATGAAAACTTTCATGTCAACAATACTCTCTCATTTTCAAAACGATGATAGACGACAATTTCACATAAACATTTCTCACTTCTCATACTTTATTTAATGTTACTTAGTGATAGTAACTTTATTGATTTACTTACTTGTTTACTACATATTTTATATTGTTATTAATTCATATCGATCGCATTGTTTTCTTCTCTTTCTCTCTCTTCTTTTTTTTCATTAAAAAATTATTATAAAAAATTTATAAAAAATAAAATTTAAAATAATTTTAAAAAGTAATTTTTTTGTGCAAATTTTCTTCAAAAATTAATTCAAATTTTCTTTTTGGTTTTTTTTCGAAATTCATTTAAAAGTTGAAAGGTTGAAAGGTTGAAAAGTTGAAAGGTTGAAAGGTTGGAAGA